AAAAGGGCAAAGAGAAGTGGTGAAAAGACAACAGTGGACAAGTAATGTCAACAAAATTGTGGAAAAGCAGGTGGAAGAGTTAACCAAGCTGAGAAAGCTAAATACCAAAGGCCTGAGAGAGAGAGACAGTGAGAAGTATGGAAACTCTGGAGCCCCCAAAAGCCTTAGCGGCTGGAGACACTGTGGAAGATGGGGATGTGGGGCGTAAGTTGCTGGAAACCAGGGGATTTGTTAATCACTGCATAATGAACCATTAAACACTCAGCATTTTCCCCAATCCAAGCAGACAGCCAACTTATCTCTCCAGCAGTTTTGTGCATGAGAAATGAAGAGGGACTCTAGACCTGGACACACAAGGTGTGGCTCTATGCTGGGGAGAGCTCCTTACTAATGACCAGGGCATCGTGGGAAACTCTACATCCAGAATGATTAGACCTGGCCTCGTTGGGCCACTCAGACTATACACAGGTATCCCACCACCTCCCTACCTGACCACCCCAGGTAATTGTTGGGTTCCTCTCTGGAGAAACTGCCCAGCTAATCAGAAAGTAAAGACTCAGTTATCGATATTTGGGGTCTCCAACGACATAGCCAGGTCCCTGCCTTATCCTTATGTATAAAAAGACAATAAAGAATGACTAGATATTTGAGAAATGCCTTTGTCTGAAATCAGAAACCAGAATAAACTGGGGGGTGGGGGTGGGAGGGGAGTGTAAAAGGAATTTATAGGAAATGTAGACAATATAGGAAGGAGAAAAACTTTATAATACTTAAAACTTAATATCTTGGAGTATATCCATAGAGAAGACTATGCATCCAAAAAACACATTAAAAGGTGCTCTACACAAGGAACATTTAGGAAATAATTCAGAGAACATTTGGATAACAGTTAAAATAATACCAGAAATAAATGTTCGGTAGAAGGTTTAGAAGATGAAGTAAAGAAAATCCCTCAGAATGTAGAACAGAAGGACAGAGAAGGGGAAAAAAAGAGAGCAAAGGAGTAAAACAGAGAGAGAAAAGCAGATCAATCCAGGAGGTCCAACTTATAACTAATAGAACAGGAAAAAAAAAAAGAGATGAAATTATTGAAGAAATAATTCAAGGAAAATTTCCAGACTTGAAGGATATTAACTCATTGAAAGCCTCACTGAATGCATGACCTAATCGATTTTAAAGAGACCGACCTCAAACACATCATTGTGAACATTTTCTAGAGGAGGGGGAGGGAACAGGTAAAATACAAGGAACCCGGAATCAGAATAGCATTGGGTTTCCATGGCAAAACTAGAAGCTGGAAGACAATGAAGCAATGCCCTCAAAATTCTGAGGGAAAATGGTTTTCAACTTGTATTTTATATACTACCGAGCTCTCTCTCAAATGTGAGGGTAAACTAAAGATTTAGATGCAGTGTCTCTAGAAAATTTATTTCAAATTGATCAGTGGTGCATCCTTCATCAACTCTACTGAGGGAAGTATTCCACGGAAACACGATAGTAAACCCAAAAAGAGGAAGATGGGAGGTTTATCAGAAGAAACGGGCAAAAAAGGAATCTTAGGCTGACAGTTACACAGTGGACTTAGAAAGCAACCAGTCCTTCTTGGGGTGGGGATATGGAGGGTTCAGGAGGGGTGTCCCTAGAGAAGAGGCGAGGGAGGGAAACGAAAGGGAGCAGGAGAGAAACTACACGAATGCTTGGTATGGTTGACCTGATGGACACAGTGTTTAGATAGGTTTTACCATTCCTGTACTGAGTTTGGAGAGAATCAAAAAAAAAAAAAAAAATACTAAGCAAATAAACAGAAAAGCCATAATTAACTTTGGTAAGAACAAAAACTTCTGTAAGAAAGGAAGGATAGTCATGGTTACTAATAGGCTCAGCAAGAAACAGAAGTGATACAGTCACAAAAAGAAATTCTGATTGAATCAGAAACTCTGTTGGGAGAATGAAGTAAGATAGGAGGAAGGAAAATAGAGTGTGCTGGGGCCGGTCCCGTGCCCGAGTGGTTAAGTTCACACGCTCTGCTGTGGCGGCCCAGGGTTTCGCTGGTTCGGATCCTGGGCGTGGACACGGCACCCCCCTCATCAGGCCACGTTGAGGCAGCGTCCCACATGCCACAACTAGAAGGACCTGCAACTAAGATATACAACTATGTACTAGGGGGGATTTTGGGAGATAAAACAGAAAAAAAAAAAAGAAAAAGAAAAAACAAAAGAAAAGAAAGTGTGGTTCAATTTTCATCTTTCATATTGGAAGTCAATAGGTAATGCCCAAAATAGGCAAATTGAGAAAAACAATTTAAGCATATTATTTAGAAATAAGAGAAACATCTAAAAGAATTTGGAGAATTTGGAGAGGAGTCTTAGCTGTAAAGGAGCTTGAGTTACATGAGTTGATACTATTTCTCTGTTTGTGCTCCAAGGCCTTTGTGCTGACTGTTCCCTCTGCCTGGACGCTTTTCCCTCAGATGTCTAGCTTGCTTCCTCACTTCATTCAAGTCTTGGCTTAAATTTTGCCTCATCAAAGAGTCCTTCCCTTACCATCTCATATAAAATTGTACATATGGCATCTCTGTTCCTTCATCTTTCTTCCTTTCCTCCATCTTTCTTCAGAGGACCTATCACAACCTGTCATAGTGTATATTCATTTGCTTATTTTTTTTCCAACTAGAATGTAAATTTCATCATCACGGGGACTTTGTTTTGATTATTGCTGTATCCTAGCAACAATAAAATGCCCACAGTGCTAGAACCAGGACCAGTGGTTACAAAACAGAGCTTCCCAAGAGATGTGTGCAAAGATGGGGTGTGCCATCTGTTGAGCCAGCAAGATGCCCCTCAGGAAAAATCAGGAACCACTTTAGTGGTTCTCTGATAGTGTAGAGGTGTTGGGCCAGATGAGTTTGGTGGTCCTGTCCCACTCTGAGATTCTGTGGTCAACTCTGAGGATAGAACAAAAAGGAGATTGTACTTCTGTATGAAAATGGGGTATGAGGGAAAGATGCTTTTATCACCAGCTGAATTAAACTTTGGAATAGATGGTGGAAGAAAGTTAAGATATCTTCTTGGCAGCTCTTTAAACACAGGGTAAAGTCTTACTGCGTGGGCTTGGTTTAATGTGTCTGTGAGTCATATTTGCCTCTATATCCTTCAAGCCTGATACAGAACCTTGAACGTGGTACGTATTTAATGTAGCTAATTGAATGATGTGAAGTTCTTAGTTGAGTTCACTCCTTGAGATGACTCCCATAAGGGAATAGATGATGTTTTTCCTGGGTTTGGTATGAGAGGAGAGAGAAGGAAACTATTGTGGAATAAGTATCAACAGTGTGTCAGACAGTATCTAAAGGATCTCCCCCATCTATACTGTTTGGTTTTGGACCATGAGTTACCCCTTCCAAATCTCATTGCTGTTTGGTCCTCACTGGCCCCAAGTATTGGGCATGGTGATGCAGAGAGAGATACCAGCTAAGTCAACAAGATACTCCTATGTTTTTAAACATTCTGTGGATTTATTATAGGAAAACCTTTGATTATAAAAGTTTACAATTTGTGGGTTTTCCTACTAGAACTATAAACAGACTTTGTATTAAAATATTTTTTATGTAAAACATCCACTCTTGGCCCTAATTTGCGGAAAGAGGAAAACAGGTTTATGCAGATTTTAATTGCTTAAATTATCACATTTCTAGGCCAAAGAGACAGGGAGAAATAGGAAAAAAAACTAGAGGACTGAAGTTTTGTTTTATCTTTCGGATGCCCCGTGCTTTCTGTAACAGCTGATCGGGGTACTGTCAAATGCACTGATGAGACGTTCCCCAAAGTTAATTTTTCTCATAATACAATAACCAAATTTGCTTTAACACTTGAAAAGGCCCATCCATACTAAAAAGAATCAGTTGCTTAATCCTAAAATTAAAGGTTATTGCATGCAAGAGAAAATAATTACATGCTCAAAGTATGGAAAAAAGAAAACTTTTTTTAATATGTAGGTATTTGTATAATTAAAGACTAATCAAGCAGAAAAGGCTGCTGACTAAACCAGAAAATGAGATTGTTGGCAAGCAATATTGTAATGTAAATGCCATTTTTGTTTAACTACTAAGAAGCTGGAAAATGATATCCTGAACAGATTAAAAGCAAACAGCATTGATAATAAATATTTATCAGATTTCAAAGGCAACACAGGCGATTTTTATATTTTATGTGCAAGATTTGTCTGCAGTGAAGTAGTCAGGTACATACGTTTCAAGGGGGTAGCTAACAGCCTTATTTAGAATTGCATTTTCAGATAATATCTTCCTACTGTTAAAGTACACGTGAAATATTAACCAAGGGAAAATCTCCCTTTTGAGATATACTGCCCTCAATGCAGTTATCTACTAATTAGGATTTTGTTAATTAGCATTGGTTACTTCATATTAGGCAAAGACTGTCTTAACAAATATACTGAATGTATTCTTATGGAGCAGTGAGATACAAGCCACATACAGTTGTTGAAAGAAAATAGAGCATTAAATGTAAAGAGTTTCTGTCAACTTCAGGTATATAGTTTAAGATGAGAAGAGTAGAAACTTTGAAGTCACACATAAACTTTCTCTGACTTTCTACAACTGTGAAGTATTACATGGCGCACTCATTTGTCCTGAGGCTTCAATACCATAGATAAAGCCACTCAGTGAATCTTCCTTTTGCTCCCCTTCTCTCCTTTCCTCTGCGGACTGAATTCACTGGGCCCCCTCACATCTCTGTTCTCAGGGAGACTGTTGCCTTTGGAGACCCGGCAAAGGCATCCATTTCTGTGTTCTAAGTGTGCACAGAGAGCTGGACCAGCTTGGACCCCCTCAGCATTCCTGAGATGCACAGTAGTCTGAAGGGCTGGAGAGTCTGGGTTTTCCTCTTGGCCTGAGGGAACTCAGAAATTCAACAGGAGAGAAAGAACATCCCACAAAGAAGCAAAAGATTTTAATCTAATGAAGCCCTCACTGGAAAACTTACTTTCTATATGTATGTGGCACGTTCCCTGTGTTCTCTGTGCTCAGCCGCAATTTGTCTTATAAATCAAGATTTGCTGCGTAAATTGTAGATGGGAGCTCTGAAAAGCAGACTTCTTGACCTACCGATAAAAATATGAATTAATTAAGCAAAGGGAGCTTTTAAAACTCAAGTGCTGCGCACAGCAAGTATGCTGCTTTTTTTCTACCGCAAAGCGTAATTATAGATAAGTTTTCAGGAGAAGAGGCAAGACTGTCATTTTTTTACCTTCCAAAACCACAGAAGATTCACTTTTCGGTTTCCAAATTAGAATCTGTCGGTTTGACTGCCTCTGTTTCTTTTGGGTGTACTGAGTACGGTATGTGATCCAGAAAGTTGAAGGCTTGCAGACCCACTAAAATGCATTTGGGGATTTTCAGAAACCGATTACCGAGTGACAATATGATAGCCTTCAGGCATGCTGCTGGAAATTTTTATTTAACTTATTTTCTCCCTAATGTGGTAGTAACATGTACCTATTTTCTGAAGATTGCAGAACACATCATCAAATGACAGTTCAAAAAACATTTTAAAGTTTATTCCTTCCCTTTTTATGTAACTCACAGTGAGAGCCAGGAAACAGCCCTAAAAAAAAACATGTTTCTCTCACCGCTTCGCCCTACTTGCTCAGTTTGAAGAGGTCACAGTGAAATCGCAAGCTCTTGAGTCTGAAAAAAGAACACCCATAAATGTTTGAGTTCTGGTTTTAGAGAGGACCTGAGGTTATTTGCAGAAGCGAGTGGGTCAGACTATGGGGAAGACCCACAGAAAGTGTCTCTGTCACATAGAGAAAGCATGTCCTTCACAAGCTGCCAGTGGACAACGCGCCTGGCCATGCAGGACGGGGCCCGACCCCTTTTTGGCGCCATCACTTGGCAGCGGGTCTGAGTGTGGGTGTTAGGTCACAGGCTATGTTTCTACAGGAGTCCTTGCCATCCTTTGTCTGGGAACATGGAGCTGCTATTTCAGCAAATCCAATCAAAATTATAATTTAGTCTTAAATTGCTTGAAAAACACCTTCCACTAAAATACAAAGTTTCCAATAAAATTGGAATAAATTTCCAATAAAATCCAAAGTTCCCATAAAATCTCAAAAGTTTCCAGTCCTGACCAAAATTCAGAGACCATGTGTTAGGCAATGCCTTTTTATTTCCTATTGAAAGCTGTCAACTTCCAGGGAAAAAAAGGGAGTGAGGAAGGCAAGAAACGCAAATGTTTATTCCAATGTATATAAGGGTCAAGTGGCCCAAGGGAGAACTTGCCAGGGTCCCCTTGTTAGGCCCTGCTTTCTGAGTGTGTCTGCTTAGAAGAGCAAAACCAGGAGCATTAATGGAGTCCTGAGACTCACAGAAGATTCTATGGCAAATTGACCCAGATCTTATCATTTTGGGACCTTTTTTTCAGGTTCCATGTTAGATTTCTGATGCATTTTGATCCTTTGAGTCACACATTCATTCATTCAACAACGACATATTGAGAATCTGCAGATGACAAGCTCTATTCTTGGAGCTAAGGCAGGAAGCAGGGGTGCATACACATAAAAAAAAATCAAGTAAACCCTCAAACATATAGTGTATTGAGCATTGATAATTGTATGGAGGGATAATAAATGGAATCAAAGGGAAAGAAAGTGCTAGAGAAGAGGGTTACTGGTTGACATAGGCTGATCAGAGAAGACATGTCTATTGGAATAGAGATCTGTTGAGAGAGAACCTGACAACATACAGAGAAAAGCACCTTCCATGGGAGGGCACAAGGGCAAAGCCCTGGGTGGGAGGATGCTGGGCAGGTCCAGGGAGGAACAGAAAGGGTGGCAGGGCTGGAGTGGAGTGGATGAGGGACAGGGCGGCAGCAGATGGGTTATTGAGGAGGCAGGGGCCAGACCATCTTGGATCTTGTAGGCTACTGTCAGGACTTTAGCTCACTCAGAATACAACAGGAAACCCCACAGATGCTCTGAAGAGAATACCACTATCAGGGGTCGAGAGCAGAAACAGAAAGTCCAGTTAAGAGGCTACTACAATAATTCAGACAAGGTGGTGATGGCTCATACCAGGTTGGATGTGGTGGAGACGGTGAGAAGTCATCAGACTCTGCATATATTTTAAAGGAAGAGCTGACAGGATTTGCTGATGGGTTGGCTTTGGGCTATAAGAAAAAGAGTGGAGTCAAAGTTGTGTCCAATGATTGTGACCCCAGGCAACGGGAGATATAAAGTTCCCCATTTGTTAAGATGGGGAAGACTGTGCAAAGAGCCATTTTGGGGACATGTTTTGTTTTAGGATGTCAGTTTTGGACAGGTTGTATTCAGAAACCACTAAGTGTGAGGAAATGTTGAGGGAGCAACTGGGTAACCAAGTTCTAGAGGAAAGTCCATGCTGGAGATGAAAATGTGGGAGTTCATCAGTGTACTGCTGGTATTGAAAGCCATAAACCTGGATAAAATCACCCAGAGAGTGAGCATAGATAGAAAAGAGGTTCAATCACTGGGCCCCGGAGCACCCCAACATTAAGAATCCCTTAGAAGAAGAGAAATTTGCCAAGAAGACTAAGAAGAGGGGCCAGTGAGGTAGGAAAAGGGGTTGCCCAGAGGTCAAGGTAAATCAAGTGCTTCAAGGAAGGAGTGATTCACTGTGTCAACTGGTTTTGGTAGATCAAGGAAAAGGAAAGCTTAGAATTAACATGGGAGCCAGCACCTGAAGGTAAGTGATGCCCTTGACACTACTTCAGTGGAGTGGTGGTGATGAATTGGAGGGATTAAAGTGGATTCAAAAAAGAACAAAAAGAGAGGAATCGGAGACATCAAGAATACACAACTCTTTCTAGGCGTTTTGCTTTGAAAGGAAGCAGATAAAGGGGTCTTTGCTGGAAGGATTTGGAGTCAAGAGAGGTTTGTTGTTTTTAAGATGGGAACTGCAACTTCATATTTAAATGCATATGGTAGTGATCCAATATGGGGAGAAATGTGGTGAAACAAATCGAGGGTGTTCTTGTATTCAAGAGGTGAGAGGCACAGGATCTTTTGCACTAGTGGAGGGTTTTCTTTAGAAAGGAGCTCAATGTGCTCATCCATAGGAATAAAACACCCCTAGATAAACAGAAACCGATGCTGTGGGTGGGTATGTGCAGCAATGCAAAGGTGTAGAGCTTCTTTTCTTATCAACTCTGTTTTCTCAGTGAAACAAGGATCAAGATCAACAGCTAAGAATGAGACTGGGAAAGGAGGTGCTGGAGGTCTGAAGAGAAATGAGGAGATGTAAAAATGGTCCTTCTAGGGAGTGGGAGAGTGATCTGACTGGGGAAATGTCATCAGGTTGCTAGGTGGTACCAAGGGTCTGTCTACTTGAGGTTAATGGTTTTGTGTTTAAAGTGAGGCTGGTCAGCACAATTGTGAGGTTTTCTCCAGCCAAGTTCAGCTGTGGCGGTTTAGGCACAGAGTAGGTAGAGGGTCAGACCGTGAAATCTAAGCTGGATAAGGAAGAAAGGTGGGGAGGTGACGGACAGTAGAAAGGTGGTAGGATTCATGGATTATAGGTTCTAGTGGAATTAAAGAATTGTTGGAGTTTGAAGTGCCAGAGGGAATGAGCTGGAAATACAGGAGGGAGAGACTAGAGAGTAAGATGCTTGTAAGTGAGACAATGGAAGGCGTGTGGCTATTGACGATACTAGAGCATGACCTTCCACAGGATGCTGAGATAGGGTGGAGAACACGCTTATTAGAGGAGAGCAGGCCAGACAACTCAGAGGCCAGGGTATCAGAAGGACATAAAAATCACACACACACATTCACACACACCCACACACCCACACCCACACTTAACACAGCAGTTTTAATTCCACAGAGAGTGACAGAGAACCAGGAGCAAAAGCTTCAAGGAATGAGGTGAGGTGACTTAAGGATCCACAGGTTATTGCAACAGAGGGTCGCAAGTGGTATAGTCCAGGGGCATGAGCTTCAATGGTGGGATTTTTAAGGAGATGGCAGGGAGAATGGCCTGAGAGCACCAATGACAAGCAAGAAGGACACCCCACCTCTAGGCCCTGAGACACTAGGAATGGGTAGATAAGAGCCACCACATATGAAGTCTTCAGGGAAGCAGTGGCCTCAGGAGAGAGCCACATTTCTGTTGGGGAAAAAAAGGTGCAGAGAATATTCCAAGAAGAGGTTGAGGAGACAGATTCGGCTGTTGAAGGACCATGGATTCAAGAGACCACAGTGGAAGGGTCTCAGGAATAGAGGAGGTGCGGGAGATGAGGTATACAGAGCCATATATGGAAGAATGGCCAGATGGTGAGGGCTGGCCTGGGATCCTTGGGCTTCCTGAGGTGACCGAGACAAATAGGGATACAGGATATGATGGCTTACTCCTGATGGCCTATGGGACAGACTATGGTGGGAGCTTTGGGATCCCAGAAGAGAGAAGAGTGTGGATTTTTCCGGAAGTACAAAGTTTTGGGGCTCATCTTCATTCCCAAAGATGGAGGTGAAGACTAGGAGATGGGCAATATTTTGAGAATCACAAGGAGGATTTTAGGCCTGTTCATTCGTGGCAAACAATTATTTGATATGTAATTTATCCAAAAAAAGTTGATGAATTAGATGGGGCTGGCCCCGTGGCCAAGAGGTTAAGTTCGCACGCTCTGCTGCAGGCGTCCCAGTGTTTCGTTGGTTCGAATCCTGGGCGCGGACATGACACTGCTCATCAAACCACGCTGAGGTAGCATCCCACATGCCACAACTAGAAGGACCCACAACAAAGAATATACAACTATGTACCGGGGGGCTTTGGGGAGAAAAAGGAAAAAATAAAATCTTTAAAAAAAAAAAAAAAACTTGATGAATTAGAATATTCAGATACATTTAAATTTGAATATTTAATTTTAAGTTTAAACATTCAAATATATAATGAACCTGGGAAACCATTTCTCTAATAGACACCTATGCCATGAAAATAAATGTAATTTTAAAATCTGAGAAGATGTGTTCTTCAAAAAATACAGAATGGAAGAATATCTGGATAGCACAGGAAAATGTTGGCTATCCATCACCCTCAAAGAAATAAGTTCCCTGTGATAGCTGAGTTTTCCCAGAAGAGCTAAGGGTTAAATCTTTTAGTGTTGAGCTATAAAACTTGTAAAATGTAAATCATTTAAAAGCATTTTACTCCCATCCCCTGCCTTCTTAAACAGAGCACCATAGTAATAAAGATCTTCTATTTGTATCATGCCTTGTGGTTTACAAAGTACTTTCACAAACATTATCTCACGTTATCCTCAACATCTCCGTAAAGTAAACATTTCACAGAATGGACAAATTGGTGAGATGGACAGTCACAGGGGTGTGAATTGCCCGGTGTAGATGAAAGGGGACGTACTTACAACTTCCTGATGACTCTGGGTCATTATTGTCAATATAGACCATAAGGATGTTCCCGGAAGGCAAGACTAACGTGCAATATGAGGGAACCTGATGAAGAATCAAACTGTGTGGGCAGACAGCGAGTGCTGTCAGAGACCCAAAGAGGAGCCCACTGAGAGCTGGAATGTCTGAAAGACTTCCTGGAGGCGGTGGAATTTGAGCAAGGCTCTAAAGTTCTAGTAGAATTTAGAAGGCCAGGCAGAGGCAGAGGAAGATGTAGTAAGAGTGGGGTGCTCCTGGATCACTCAGAGTTATTCACTTGGATGCTCTCTATTTTGCTGTAAATGGGTACCACTGCCTTGGTCAATGGTGCCTCATCTCCACCGTTCTCCCTCCCTCTTAAATTAGTCCTCGTGATGATTAAATCTATGTGTCTACTTGACTGGGCCCTGGTGTCCAGACACGTGATTAAACGTTATTGTGGATGTTTCCGTGAGATGTTTTTTGGAGGAGATTTACATTTAAATTAGTAAAGCAGGTTGCCCTCCGCATTGTGGATGGACCACTACCAATCACTTGAAGGACTGAACTGAGCAGAAAGCTGACCTCCCCTGAGCAAGAGGAAATTCTGCACCCAACAGCCTCCAGATGTGAACCTCAACAGCTCTTCCCTGGCTCTCCAGCCTGCCATCCACCCTGCAGACGTTGGACGTGCCAGCCTCCATATTCACATGAACCAATTCCTTAAAATTAATCAGTCTCTCTCTATATATATGTATCTATACAGCCTATTGGTTCCATTTTTCTGGAGAACCCTGAGTAATACTGTCTCTTTCTCATAGATTATATGAGTTTCTAGAAGGAAAAAAGGGAAACAATTCTCCTCTGCAGAGTATGGACCCGTGCAGTGGGTGAAAGGAAGGATGCTTACACATAAAGTTGATGGGATCAAGGATGTTCCCGTGGCAAAAGGAGCCAGACTCTGGGGGATGGTTCTCAGAGTTCAGTCTGGGAGGAACCTGGACCCAGAGCATTACAGGGCCCATCTTTCACCCCTCACTACTCTACTCAGAGCCACTTCACCAGTTCTCATGTCACCTCTACAGCTTTTCCCCTTGAGCCAGCTCTGTGACTTTCCCCAACACCACCCAAGAGGAGAGTTGTGTGGACACACTATGGTTACTCTCTGTCATTTGACCCCACTGATAATTCTGCCGAACAATCAGGTTGGACAATTGATCAAACTAACTAGCTAGTTTAGGTTTAAACACAGGCTCATTGCTATAGAGCAGGAGTTGGCAAACTTTTTATGTAAAGAGCCAGAGAGTACGTATTTGAGGCTTTGTGGGTTGACACAAAATCGAGGATATTCTTTCTATATGTATATAATCAGAGAAAAGAAATTTTCACAAATTTTGGGCTGCTGAAATTCAAAAAATGTTGTTCTATTCAGACCTTCAACTGATTGAACAAGGCCCACCCACATTATGGAGAGCTGTCTGCTTTACTCAAAGTCCACTGATTTAAATGTAAATCTCATCTAAAAACACCCTCACAGAAACATCCAGAACAATGTTTGACCAAATATCTGGGCACCCCATGGCCTAGTCAAGTTGACATGTGAAATTAGCCATCACAGAAGGATAACATTTCACTCAATTGGTGTTCAAAATTGGTCGTCCTCATCATCAAATCCATTGCAAATGTTCATCTGTGAAAACCATTCTTAGCTCATGGGCCATAAACAACAAGCTGTGAGCCAGATTGGGCCTGTGAGCAGTAGTTTGCCAACCTTTGCTATAGAAGAATATCTTAATGATACTAATGACAGGTAGGCCCCCTAACAAGAAAGATAACTACAGTCAAAATAGTGCAGAGTTAGGAGAGGAGGTGAAGCCTGACTGCTTGGTGAGAATTCTGACTCTCTCACTTAGTAGTTGCTTATCTTAGGCATGTTGTTTAGCTCTTTCGTGTTTCAGTTTCCTCCTTTTTAAAATGAAAGTAAAAGTATCAACCTCAAAGTCTCCTATGGAGATTAAATTAGTATCTGTAAAGTTCTTGGGAAAATGCCTGGTACATAGCGAGTGTTAGGTAACTATCAGATGTGATGATGGTGGTGGCCATGCTAATGCAAGAAGGAGGCAGAAGGAGGAGGAACACAGAGAAGATGGGAAACAAATCCTTACCAGGCCAGGACGGTGAGCGCTTTCCACAGGTTGGAAGTGTTGCTAGAAAATTGATTGATTGATTGACCTCTGAAACTGACCAGCCCTACTAGAAACTCAAAAGTGGGATGTGCTCTTAGGTTCCAAGCACTGAGAGGGCTGGTCTTGTGTTTTAGCCCAACCATCAAGATTATTCACATTTCTTTACTCTGAAGACCCTACAGCCTAGGAGGAGTATGGGATGGGGAAAAAGGGATGTGGAAGAATTTTGGTCCTTACCTCCAGAAATGATTCAGAACCCAGCACACAGGAGACGAAGACCTCCCTACCTACTCTTAGCTGACTTTGAGTTTACTAGAGAAGCAATAATTTTACAAAGAGGCTGGCAATTGGTGTCCTTATTGAATAAAGAATAAGCTCCCAGATTTACATTCATTGATTTTCTATCCAGTTTCTATCTCTGTTCATCATGTTGAATTTCTTCTTAGTATCCAAAAATCAAACTGGTGAGAAAGCAGTTGTATCTATGTCTGTGCCCCTGTAATGCCCACATCTTTGTAATGTGGCCAGCTTTTTATAGCTGTTAACCCTTAATTGTACTCATTCCAAAAAGATTTTTTTTTAAAGAAATAATGGATTCTGAAAAATAAAAAGATCCGGCCTTATTGCTTTGATGAAGATTTGCCACCCCTGACCGTTTAAATATTGAACTTGGACTATAAAAATATCACTTCTTATTGATCACATGGTTATTAAAGTCAGTCAAATGCTGAATTTATATGTCAAACACTTGTAATATTTCCTGTAAATATTAGGGCAAAGGGAAAAGATGATAATGCCACCGTGAAGAGTCACATCAGATTTGTTCAACTTTATATAACCGAGAAATAATAAAATTGTCACCAAGAATTTCATTATATATGCCAAGCACTTGTCAAAAACTGCCGCACGTCATTCACGCATGCGTATGTGTCTGCGGATGAGCTCAGGAAACACACACATGCATGTGACATGGAGGAGAATGGGGTGAAGTCTATGCTTTGCCCGTCTACCTGCCCTGGACCCGTGCAGCACGGCGTCTGATAGCTGCTAGGATTAGGCAGGCAGCCCCTGGACACAGACACATTTGGGTTCGCTTTTTCTTGAACACCAATCTACACTGGGATGCTGACCAACTCTCTGGGTCTGGAAGAAAGCCTCGGAACTCAATAAGTCAACGAATACTAATCAAGGGTTTAAGGCAGATTCTTAAATCCCCTAAGATTCTTAAAATCTCTCTCGGAGGATTTTCAAGATTGCTTTGGGGGATAGGTCAGCCGAGAGATCCTTAGATCCCGTTCCCCCCCAGACGCTTGCCATACAAGCAAAGGCTTTCAAATGAGTAACAGAAAGGAACTATTAGTCAGTTGCGAGTCTTCTTACTGGGAGACTCTGATTGGAGGCCCAGGGCAGGCCTGCGAACAGAGGAGTGTGTAGCCATTTCTAATGGCATTTTGATGTACATGCACAAAATTGATGTCGGAAGGATCATTGTAAAGTCCCAAACAGTGGAATATTGAGGACATTTTCAGGTGGCAGTCAGATTCTGGCTGGGTGAGCCCAGTATATTTTCTCATGTCACAGTTGATTAGGTTCACAGGGAAGTGGAAAGAGTAAAAAATTCTCTTATTACTGCAGCAATGCCGTCTCAGCCTCTTTTCCCTTTGAATGCAACATTAGTTTTTGTCCAGAAGTCTAACTGCTTTCTACAGTTTGGGGAATTGTAAAGCAGAAACAATTTTCCCAGCCAGGCTGACCTTCACAGTAATGAGAAATGACTGGAATTTCTCTCTATTTCTCTAACATTTGGGGAGGTTTGGGATGGGGGGAAGAAAGAATATGCTTGTTTTACCTGCTGTTATGTTGTGGGCGTCCATTTGGCACTTGGAGCCTAATTTTTTCCATTCAGGGGATTACATGGACTGTTGCTCCCCTGACCCGCGAGCCAGACCACAAGTGTATTGAGAGACGACAATAATGCACTTTAAACCTTTTGTTATCACAACAGAGATGGCATTTTGTTGCCGCCATTAAATGAATAAATATTTCTCTCCTGGGGATGGCCATTTTCATTTACTCTCCAGCCGTTACTCAGATGATGAGCAGGAGGGTGGGGAAATTCAACCTTCGTTTAGGACGCGCCCCCGCGCCTCTGGTGCCCTGGGAGTCCGCCCAGCCTTCTGGACCTTCCAGCGGGCCTCCTGCATGAGCCAGCCGAATGGTGCTCCTTTCTGCTTGCTTCTACCTGGCCTCTTGCTCGCCACTCACCTTTCCCTCTGCTGGGATGGCAGGGTAAATGAGCTCTCTGGCCAAAGCGAATGCTTCCTCCTTGATTCTTTCAAATATTTAAGGATTCCGTTTAACTGTGGAAATGCAAGAACTCCCTGGAAGGCAGTGCAGAGGATAAAATTTAATACAGCCTGCCACCCCAGCCCAGGAGAAGCAGTTAGCCTTAAAGGAGAAACTTAATCCCAAGAGACATACCCTGAGCTGCCCTTTGTCTAAGGGTCCAGGACGGGATTCATCCCTCAGAGACGCTTTGGCAGAGTGTAATTTATTGGGAGGGGGGTATTTTGTAGCTCCTCTTGCACCCCCCCCCCCCCCGCAAACTCTATCCCTGCCCCCTTTCAGGTAGGCAGCAGGGCATCATGGGTATACTGAATTGAAATTCTACTCTGCCACTCACTAGCTGTGTGAGCTTGGACAAGCTCCTTAAACTCTCTGAACCTCAGTTTCCTCATCTGTAAAATGGGGCTATGATAGTACCTACCTCACAAAGCTTTTTCATTTGAAGGAGGGAAAAAACCACTTAGCACGGTTCCTGCTGTTTGCCCTCCATAAACTGTAGCTTGTATCATCAACTCAATTCTGTCCTTTTTAAGTATACTGTAAATTGGTGATTAATTTGCCTTATGGTATCATACAAGAGTCCGCTGTCGATCCCTCAGTGGTGTATGCTATAGGAAGGTGCCGTTGGATGCCCACCTCAGGACAGCAAATGAAGAGATGTGGTTTGGGCCTGCCACCTGCTTTTTTTCTGGACTCCAGTTCTGCCTGAACCTTACAGGAGATATAACAGTGAGGACTAAAACTAAGTGTTGAAACAAACAAACGACCTCAGTCTTGGAGGATTGGGTGGTCGAGAGGGGAATCCACAGGAGGGGCCAAAGGAGTGGGGCACCAGGCCAGCAAGTGGCGGATGGGGGAAGCACCGTGGTCTCCGGGATTGCAGATGGGCATTTCAGGGCTTGCTCTGTCTCCAACTCAAAACTGAGCTTTCTGCTGAAGGAGACTTGATCTTGCCTGGATCTATACCTGGATAACATCCTCACGTGCGCTTATTTCTCAGATTAGGAGAGTGAGACCCAGAGCGTTTAGGAAACATACCTACGGCCACATATGCCCGGTAAGTAGATGATCTTCAAGGATGCTTCCAACTCTAAATTTATGATCTACTTGAATATTATGTGCTATTTAAGATAGCCATAGTACTGGAAACCGCCAGGTCCTAGAACA